TTTTGGTCGGTCGTGGGGCTTGAACTCTGGGCCTGTGCGCTGTCCCTCAGCTCTTCAGCTCAAGGCGAGTGCTCTACCACTTGAGCTACAGCGTCATTTCCGGTTTTTTCTGGTGGTTTATTGGAGATAGGAGTCTCACAGTCTCTCCTGCCCGGGCTGGCTTTGAACCAGCGCCCGGCTGGTCTCCCTTTTTAATGGTAACTTTACAATCAGCAGCATTGTTTCCATAGTGCAGTAACACCGAGGGAAACATGGAGACCTTGGAAACACTCCCCTTCCCCTCTGACCTTGAAAACACTCTTCTCTCCCACTTTCCACCTTTCTTTTCAAATCTCATTAAAGTCTGCTTGAAGCATAACACCAAAGGCAAATTCCTTAGTCCACTTTGTGCTGCTATGAAAACAAAAACAAAAAAACAAAAACACTTGAAAGCTGGGCATTGGTGGCTCACGCCTGTCATCCTAGCTACTCAGGAGGCTGAGATCTGAGGATCGCAGTTCAAAGCCAGCCCAGGCAGGAAAGTCAGTAAGACTTTTATCTCCAATAAACTGCCAGAAAACCACTCAGAAGTGGCGCTGTGGCTCAAGTGGTAGAGCACTGGCCTTGAGCTGAAGAGCTGAGGGACAGCATCCAGGCCCCAAGTTCAAGCCCCACAACTGACAAAAAACAAAAAACCTTCATACTGGGTGAGAAAAGGTAATAATAGTTAAAAGCTGGGTACTGGTGGCTTATGCCTGTAATCCTAGTTATGCAGAAGACAGAGATGGATGATCAAGGTTTGAAGTCAACCCAAGCAGAATCGTTCAACCAGCAAAACGATGGACTGGAAGCACAGCTCAAGAGACAGTACCAAAAGAAAGACAAACGAGCGCAAGGCCCTAAGTTCAAGTCCCACTGACACACACACAACCAGGGCAAAGGAGTGGGTGAGAGAGGGATTACCCAGGTGCGGGGCGCCCGTCTACCTATGCCAAGCCTGAGCTGGAGCACAGCACTACCATAACAGAGGGGGAACCCGGCCTCATCCGCCGCCCTGAGCTGGAGCGCAGCACTACCATAACAGAGGGGGAACCCGGCCTCACCCCCAGCGCAAGCCTGAGCTGGAGCGCAGCACTACC